TGCTAAAATGATCCTTTCTTCTTGGTTAAACTCTTCACTGGTGCTGTTCATATTACAGAGGCGTCTTTTCAATTCCGCTGACTTGGCGTGAGTTCTTCTCTGATATTAGATGACGAACAATTTATGGATTTAAAACACTTTTAATATATTTCGCATATTGTTTGGCCCAATAGGTAAAGATCAACACCGAAGAACTTAATAAATTATTAAAGAAACACTGGTGGCAGGTTTTCAAGCCAATGTCTGGGTGGTGAATCACCTTCAACCTCTAGTTGCTATGCTTTCGTCCATGTAAGCTGTCAACGCGTCGATTTTCTTATTAACTAACTCAGTGAGTCGAATGCTTTTGTTTTCGCCCGTCAAAACGTCGAGCATTAAATAATAGTCAATTGTAGCACAAAAGAAGTACAGTCATGCCAAGTGAAAAATCCATCCCCTCTCGAGTGAAAAGGTGAATTCCCAGTCAAGAAGAAATATTTCATTTTGAAGTTTTTGCTACAGTTCGTACAAGTGATGAAAAATTATGTGATAGTCTAAAGACTACATGAGTGAATTATCATGAGACACCAATCGTAAAAGTGCCAAGATCACTACGACAACTAAAATATATTGGAACGCCGTTTTATTTACTTTGAGCTCTTTATTTCTTCTTTAGAAGTGTACTGTTAGACATCTAAGGTTTTCAAGGTTTTTCCATATCTTCCCTTCCTTTCTTGCAATTTCTTTGGTAATGCTGGTGCCATATGAATGGCGTTTTTTAGATCAACATGATATCTGATGATCAATTTATAAAAGCACATATCATTAGTGGGAATCTAAAATTCACCTGCCATAAGTCATGTTTTAATAAAGATCCTTTTATCTTTCTCATTTATTTAAATCATTCTCACTGATCATGTACGAGCGCAGATATACACCTCCGTTCACAAAACAGATATTTGCTGACTTCGTTAACTACCCCTTTTGTGAATTTAGTTGAGTGAAGTATCGCCGGAAAAATTTAAATCGTTAACAAGTGTAGATCCCAAAAAACGCTCTAAATTCTGGCTAAAACTCTGACGAATCCTACAAACTATCGAAAGGAAAGTGGAGCGACCGCCCACGGCTTGTGCTTGTCAATATCACTCTGAGGTTAATTTGAATGTTAAAACTCAGCAAACGTTCTTCGCATGATTTTGACTTGTTGTTTACTCAGCTCCCCTTTATTTATTTTATACCTGAATAATTATCTCTTTGTGACGAAAGCGTCTTTTTGTCGAGTAAATTAAAAGGTAATAAA